CAGCAGCCCCGATCCAGCCGCTGCAGCGCTGGGCGCGCCCGGCGGCTCCGGCAGCAGCTCCCTGGACAGCGGCCACAGCAGCTCCAGAATCAGTTGTCACCCCACCAGCTCCTTGGAAGTTCGTGCAGTGGCTCATTCAGTCGAAATCTCTTTCACTAAGTCGCCACCTGTGGTTCCGGGTGGCACTGGAGCCGTCCCGGAGGACAAACGAAAATCTTTGCCCACCAAGCAAAATTAAAAACGAACTGTCGATTCTGTGAGACTGAAAGGACTCAAAGCGAAGCTCAGTCCTCTGGTGGCTTTTTAAGTCAGTTTACAGCAGCCACATCCAGTTAACTCACAAAACAAATGTTCGATTAGTGCACTTTTATAACCATTATACACCTAGAGTAAACAGGTGACTTTCCCTATCAGTTCCTTGGAAATGACATTTCCTAGGCAAGTCATACTTAGTGGTGGCCTACTTTTATCTGCCAAGCTCAGGAGTCCTACTTTCGTGTTGCTTCAGACTTTGAACCAAGAGCAAGTTCTGCAGAAGCTTGAAAATTGATGTAAACATTAGATTGTCAGTCAACCCAAAAGCCATCAAGGAAGTATGAACTTGCATACATGAATCTGAACTTCCCAATCAGCTTGTAAAAAATAAACTTTAAATCAAACTACATAAAGAAGGATAAAATTAAAAATTAAGTATTTTAAAACCACATAAAAAGAAGAGTGAGTCGGGAAGGTCCTGGCTTCTAGGAAAACAACTTTTAGAGCATTTTCTATGCTCCCGTATTGCTTTTGCTGGGCACAAGTAAGTTTATTTTTTTAACTGGAAAAATTATTAATTTAGTGTTCAGGAAGGTGTGAAAGAACACTCAGTGAGGATCTTCTTTTCAGGGAGAAGCCATAGATCATGTCAAGCAGGTCACGATGTTTTAAATAAAATAAATTTAAATAGAAGTGTGTGTGAAGAGGAAGGCAGGCAGGTATCTTCTGAGATTCACTATTAACAGGGCAAAAAGTAGCAGGTTTCAATGAGCATGGGATGGGATGGTTGAGACATCAGGAAAACACAAATGGCAAGAAAGTTCTGATTGTAAAATTCTTGTGTGATATCTAATGAATGAGTTTTGTAGTGCTTAATATAAAGATTACAAAAATAGCTAAGGGATTTTCAGCAATAGCAAATGCCATTTCCCCCCCCTCTGAATCTCTCTCCCTTCATTTTCCTCTGGATCAGTCTCAGCTGAACACATGAACATGGAGTGTGTGAAATGAAGTTATACTTATCCAGGCATCCTAGCAACACCAGAATGGGGGGCTCTGCAAGCATCTACCCACGTGTCTTTGCTGTTCTTTGGATCTTGTCTTAAGTGTCCTGAAGATTGTAACACACAATATGAAACTTATTGATTAGTGCATTTAAAACCACCCAACAAATTGTATTAGTATGATGAAATCAGTTTTTTTCACCTATTATGATGCCTTAGCACAGCCATTACAGAAATGACTGCCACGTGGAGCAGAAATAATCATAAGCTTTAACTACCTGGCTTGGCTAGCAGCAACAATATAGCTGAGATAGACTGAGCTACAAATTCCATCCTATCCCTCAGGAAAGGAATTTTCTAAAATAAGCCTCAGAGGCGACATCTTGTGGATGATGAAAAAAAATACAACTGGGTCACAGGCAGTATTTCACTTTTAATATAATAATATACAGTAACTTTGAACTACAAGATCACTTTCCAATGAAATTACTAGCAAAAATAGCCACCAAATAAATAAATAAGAACACATGATTGCCAACACAAAAAGCTGGGCTGCAAATTCTCAGTTAACTAAGGTCCAGTCTTTGCAGACAGAGGGGTCCATTTAGTTATTTTTCAGAAGAAAACCCACCAACGTCTATGAGAAACACAATACATTTAAAATAAGGCAAAAAAAGCTGAAATACATGATGAGTCTGGAACAAAACAAAAGGATGAAATAGCAACAATAGAATGTGCTGGTCCTTTGCATTTGCTGGTGTTGAATGTCATCCTCTAAACTTCACCATACCTCTGACACAGCCAATTTATTTGATCTTTAAGCATGTCAGATTAAGTTTCACTTTAATTGCATAGAGCTGAATGTACATGCAACTACAATTCATTTTAACTGCAACCTCACAAATACTGAACATGGAAATGTAATACTGCACATTACATTTGTTTCCTTTATCAAGTTAAAATTTCACATTTGGTCTCCAGTAGACTAGGAAAAAAACACTAAAAATATTCCTTAGACGATTCCTGAGCAATGTTTTTATGTACTGTAAAATCCTCTAGTTTACAATTACATTTATTAACATTCTCACATTTTAAACTACATACAAATCCATGCTTTGAAATTTTAGAAAGCTGAAGATCTGGTAGGCACGATGAAAGAATAGAAACATCTAAGCATCTTAAATACCAAGAAGAGATCAACAAGAGAAGTGCAATTTAACTATATACATAATGTACCCTTTCGTATATGCTACTTTTTCATTTTCTCCCACAATGTGAAGGATCCACTTGTAAAGTCTGGTCCATCAGACCTCAGCTCACTTCTCGTAACAGTTCACTGTGACTGAGGATGAAGTTAATGCTGCTCAGTATTTAATTTTAAAATGAAAGTAGGAAACATCCTCTAGAATTCCATCTTTAACAAGATCATGTCCCCAGCTCCTGTGATTGATTTGAAATTGTAACAGATGAACTGACACTTGAATATTCACTGAACTCTCCTTCATACTCTCTTGTATCCCACAGACACAAGAGAAAAGACCTGGTTGTACAATTTCTTTCTGTAGGATATTTCTCCATGTTGCTTAAATCTTTAAACAAGAAGACAAGCTAACTGGAGTAGACTGGACCATGGGGTAAATAATAGTCGTATCAGATAACTGAAAATAAATATCTTTTATATTAAAATATATCTTTCCTTGAACTTAAATAGTCTTTACATTCATCTACTAAGAGTCTATTTTTATGTTTTGAGAGGCTACCAGTTCTGAAAATTAGGCCACAGAGTCTCTAGTAATAAACTCACTTTGCATTAGTCATAAATATCTATGTGCAATTTGAAATTTGGTCATTTCTTCTAAATGGCAAAAATTATCAAGGCTTACATAATTAACTTCAAGGAACGCTGTAAACACAGTGGACATTTCTGGGTATAAAAATACACATTCCATTTTCTTAATCTGTCAGTGTTGAAGCTGTCTGCTGTTTATTAAGTTTTTATCTTAAAAAGAATCCTTTCTGCATTAAAATATTTCAAAACATTGTCTCCATTCTTCTTCTTATATATAAAAAAAAATCTAATGCATAAAAAAATCCAATTCATCATCTTCTGTGAAGAATTATTTTGACTTTGCATAGATAAGCATGCTCCATTACGTTACAAGAACAGTTGAGCCCTTTTCCATCAGAAAACACCACCATCAAACCTGTCTCACAAAATTGCACATCTGCTCAAGAACAGAGCATGGCTCCTATTTCCTCAAACACACCAAGGTAAGCATGAGAAACACCACAGACTTCAATGGACTTCAACTGGTGCAAACAGGAGGAAATGTTGTAATTACATATTTCACTAATTTTTCATACTCTCCTATTATTATTTTCATTGAACACTTGTAAATATTTTTGAGGAAAGATCAATGGAAGACACTTGCCTTCAGGGAAAAGATTTCCTGCTGGCCTTGCTGGCTTAAGATCAAATGTATTGAAATGAACAGTGCTGACTGAGAACCATGCATTGAGAACATACTTTCTCAGGATCTTCCTATGAAGAAAAGATGACCCTTCTGCATTGGCCAAATGCTTTCTAGCAGTCAAGAAGCATCAACATTTACTAATGAATTTTTCTTCATTTAAATGTGCACGTTTGCTTTGTGCCATTTGTTTTTATTTTCCTGTCCCCTGTTGGTTTCTTAGAAGGAACATAATTGTTGGCGTTGCCATTTTTCTTTGGATTTGTGCTGGCATATGTTTTTAAGCCTTTGATGGGAGCAGCTGAACTGTGAAATAATGGGGGTTGCTTAGGGGGTCTGATATTACCAACACTTTGAATTTTAGAACTGTTCTCAGAGGGCTGCAGATTAAGAAGCTGTTGCTTTACAGTTGGTTTTTTTTTCAGTTCACTCCTTACTTCACCAGCTTGTCTCAGAGAAGACAGTGCATATCCTGTCCTCTCAGAAAGTTTCAAGTGACCTGGATGAGAATGTACCCGGTGACTTTCTTCACAGTATGATACTCCCCTGTGACCTAAACAGCTTCTGGGCAGCTTTGTAGCACTTTCTTGGGGAACCACTTGCTTGTTGGGCAAAGGGCTGAGCAATGCTTTGACTTTGCCAGGGCTTTTTAGGGTACGGATAGAACCAGGAGTAGTCTGTGGCCTGGCTTTGGCTGCCTTTCCCTTCTCATTCTGCACAGTCTGCATTTGCAGCCATTCCAGCTGCAAAAGGCGATCAATGTACTTCTCAAGAAATCCCGTTGGCTTTGGTCGAAATTCAGTTTTACCCTCTACGTTAACAAAGATGGCCAGTTGCTTCAAGTCCCACGAGTTGAAAGGGGGTGGGAGGAAGTCTGGATAGTAATATTCTGATTCTTTAAAACCCATATCAGGGACGTGTTCCAAACAAACCGGATCAATTTCTTCAGCTCTGAGAATGAGTTCTGGTGGTGTGCAGGGAGATGGGGGAATGGGAATCCTTTCGGAATCAGAGAGATCACTGGCACTGTCATCTTCAGCATCTTCTTTAATACTTTGTACTGATTCAAAATCAAGAAACTTTTCATCTACAGATGCTTCTTGCCATTTAGAAGAGCATGGACTGGCTTCAGCAATATATTCTTCATGATTCTGTTCCAACTGTTCCTTTTTACCACAATAGAAATGTTGCATTGGGACATCTTTAACCCTACAGTAGCTACCTTGTGTGCTGCCTTTTATGCTAGGAGGGATCCTGTGCAGAAAAGATTCATTTTGCCTTCTTTCCGGGAGAGTCCTCTTTGGTCCTTGTGCTCTGTGCAGTGATGTGCAAACAGTCGTGACACTAAATTTTAAAAAAAATTATCATATTCTGTTAGAATGATTCATGTCTTTGGAACAACAGTTCTTGCTACCTTCTTCAAGGACATGGATCTACATGAATGAAGCTAAAATTGGCACGGAAACTTTGTCATGAGGTAAAATCAGCATTTTTTGGCAGAGATAACACAGGAAATTTTTTTGTTTTATTTTATTCTGATTTTGCCTGAGAACTCACAACTTAAATTTGTTGTCCTCATAAATGCTGAATTCTAGGACCAGTTAAGTTGAGGGCAAAACAGAAAAGCTGAGATTTCATCACAAGCATTTTATACACCAGTTTGTCTACAAATTAAACAGACAATCTTAACATAAAATTACCTTTTTGACTGAGTAGTGTCATCCAGCTGGTTTCTTCCCTTCTTAAAAATACTTGGTTGGTTACCATCTTGAGTGTCATGGGAAGTCTGAAAAAATAAGAAAGCATGTGATGTTGAGAACCTGACATAAACTTGATACCCTTTTTCTGTAAACAAACAAAAAAAAAGTAATTTACCTTTTCAATGGCACTTGATAAATTTTTGCCTAATCTTCCAGGAGAAGGTTTCACATGCCATTGGATGGTTTTTTCCATTACTGTAACTAGCAGAAATTGGTTTACTTAGCCCTTTGGTGCTTGGATGGTTTTTTCCATTACTGTAACTAGCAAGGATTAAACAGAGTATCACATATAGCAACAATCATCACAATGATGAATTGTAGATACTGAACACAATAAAAGTTGAGAGTGCAATTCAGTTTAAAAAAGAGAGAGTTGATTGCTACTATTCTTATCTTAATCAGACCTATGCCATGGTCACTTTTTATTTTTTTATACTACAAATGCAAAATATCAGATGGTATGATAATAGAGTTTGACCCTTATATAGAAACCTTTATCAGAAGATCCCAAAATATTTTGGGGATAATAAATTGTAAAAATATTAGAGACTACAAATTTAATTACTATTTCTGTAGTAGCTGATACATGGTCCTACTACAATTTAACAAAATTAATTATGAAGTACAACTTCAAGCCATGTCTTACTTGCCTCTCATTTGCACTCTCATCTAAACTTAAAATAGTATTCCTATGAAGTTCATAACAAAGGCATTAACAAAATTCACCATTTCATATTATACTGAGGTTGTGGAAAATAAAATGCCATTTTAGAATAGGAATAAGCAAACTGTCCCTACCAGTCTAATCTGGTTTGACTGCAGTTCAAGTAATTTGTCAGGCTGTACATTTTGATCACAGTTTTTATGTCAGTATAATAAGATTTTGCTTTAAGACACGATTTCACCAATTCAATTCTTGTGCCTCCACGGCTGCTGCAGTCACCTCTGTCACTTTGTGACCTGCATAATCATACTGCACCATCATTTCTTTTGCAGTGGATCAGAGGATGAGAATCTAAAAAGTACAGCCATGCACTTATGAACTAATCCACGGTATTTTGACATTTCTGTAACTAAAAGGAGACAAAATAATTTCCTTACTTTACCATTCCTTTGTGGTTTTCATTGATTTGGCTTTCTTTTTTCTGTGCCTCTCTGTGCAGTAATAAGGGATGTTCTTGAATGCCTGGTCCCATTCCTATTCTTAAAGAGTATCTGCACCTTTATTTTTACATAATCTTCCAGTGACTCCAGTCTTGTGGGTGTGTAAGGCACAGCCTATCAAACGCAGACATCACCATGTCCTGGAGGTGCAGTAAACAAACACCATGCGATTACTGGCAACGTGACTCAGATTTAAAGGAGTAAGATAAACATAATCGGCTACCAAACGGTGCTGGAAAACGCTGCCTGTCGTCCCCAGCGCTCACTGAATGGGCACCAGAACCATTCCCGGCTGCCCCGCGCCGAGCTGCGGGCACGGAGTGGAGCCGGGCAGGGAGGCAGCCCTGCTCCCCTCCCAGGGGCACAACTTGGCCACCAAAGCTGTGGAACAGGGCGAGAGAAAGCCAGGCAGGACTTCCAGGCAGGGCCAGTGCTGCGGGAAGCCCCGCGGCTCCTGCAGCCACCGCACAGCCCGTCGAGACCCCCGCAGGATGGGCCAGAGCCCGCAAACCGCCGAGCTCCTGCCGCGGGGGTTACAAGCCCCTTCCTGAAAGGGAAACATCGGGGGGTGCAGCACTGTCAGAGGAGCTACTGCTCACTGTGTGATGTGCTCATCATCACTTTCTTCCTCCTGCGCAGCGCTCCATGTATTGACTGGAGCCAAGTATCACAGTCAAATGCTGGTGGGTGTTTCTGCTCTCAATGTAACCAGAGCAGACGATCAACCTCCCGTGTTCTGTGTGCATGTGGAGCTCTTCCCTTTCCGATGGAAAATGCACCCTTCCTCTATTCATATATGCAAACTTTGTACCAATTACCTTTTTTTTTTTTTCTTGTTGCAAAACAAACCTCTAAATACTCATAAGCTCCTACTAAAAACACTCAGGAAATAACTGGCAGTGTTCTTTTGTCTTCCAGAAGCTGCATTCCCAGAGCAGGGCGCAGAGATACGATCTGCAAAAGGTGCCAGACGATGAGCGCCAAAATACCTCTCCTTACCCACCTTTAGTTCTGCTGCAACGCTACTTATGTGCTTGTATTCGTATCTCTATCTACGTCTGATCCTGTCATTTCTCCAACGCGTCTCGACCCGGCGGGACGTTCCCTCCCAGCGCCGCTCTGAGCCCACCGAGGGGCACGCTCGGGCCCAGCACACGGCCGGGGAGCTCGCCAGCTCCCAGGGGCTAATGCCACGCAGCAGCGGCTGGTTTGGAGGCTCC